CAGGGCACATTAAACCTCGGGGATGCCCTAATACCCCGCCCAGGGCCCACATCTAAGTTTCCTGCTTTCACGAGGGGCACTCCAGGCAACCAACCCAACACCAGCCCACGCTTTGGTCGGGGCTTCTGCAGAACCTTCCCTGCCTACCAAGCCAGCTCACAGGTTACTTCCTTCCCGCAGTCACCCAGACACAGCCCTGGGCAGGGAGCTCACTCCTTCCTGCTCCACACAGGTACCCTCTCCCCTGGCACTGCCAGGAGCCTACTGCACCCACCACACTGCTTTCCTGCTTCTAGGTGTCTAGCATATAAAAGGGGTTCAATGAAGGCTTGCTGAATTAATTAGCAACTGAACGACAGCAGAGCACTGAAGATTCTCTAAGACCCGGGAAACAAAAGGCATGCAGTTCCCCCAAACAGAAAGGACTGCTTCAGCTCTGCTGACAGTGTGGGTCTTTCCTAGAAACCCACCCACCACCACCCCTTAGCTCTCTTCTGGCTGAACTGTGACACCAGACTGTGACATCCACGCTCAGAAGGAGCAACCATGTGTAGGTGTGTATCTTCAGGGTTTGCTCTTTGGGGAGCCCCCTTGTTCACAGCGCCCCTTAAAGAGAAAAATATAAACAAGAGAATCACTTAACCCGCTGCTGTTCTACTGTGTAGCTTTTTAATCTGCTTATAGTCACAGAACAAAGAGAGGAAGACAGAACTCATTAAGAATAAAGAGACTAGTGACAGAAAACGCAGCAACGGTTCGAGACGCTGCGCGCTGCATGGGGCACCCTTCCCCCCCTTCCCCAAGGGTACGGGTCCATGTACCTGAGAAAGATACTAGTTAAGCCTCTGGCAGGAGACATGTGAACCCCATTCAAAGCAGCCATTTAAACGTAAACACACTGCAGGCAAGAACTCCAGGCAGCCGGCACTACCAACTTCCTCTCCTTTAGAGATTTTAGGTCCTGACAGGAGAGAGCTTTGCCAAACTTCACTGAAAGGTCTCTGAGTGCTTGCAAACAGATTTTTAAAAAATCTCTAAAGCTTCTTAACCCTGAACGAAGGCTGCCTGCCGTGTTTACATGCACACAGTAATCCCAGGACTATTAATAGGTCAGCTTTTCGATGAAGATGCTTAATGGAGTCGTGGGGAGAAGGCTGGATCTCAGGCTCACTGGGTGTCGCTGATGGACGATGAAGACCGAGGCTCAAAGAACCCCACTTTCCCTCTTTTGCTCAGCCCCAAGATTTATCCTCTTCCATATTCCAAATTAACGCTGAGGCTATTAGAGGCAATAATTGGGGACTGGAGAAAAGAATTGTCTGTAATCTTTGGCAACAAACATCGTGTTCAGATCTTTGATTTCTTCATGATTTCAGGAGCCAGACTTTGTTTCCTATCACTCCCGAGTTTATTAGTAAGACCGCCTTCTTTACCCCAACACAGTGACTGTGCTCCTGAGGCTGAACATCAAATATGGGGCTCGGACAAGCTCTGTTTCGCTTGGAACCCGCACCAAAAGAGAAGTATCAGAATCAGAACGCTGAGATAGAAAGTTAACCAGATTCCCAACTGCCAACTTTGCCTGTAAAGATTCCAGAGGAGGCAAAGACTTAGGTGAGGATAGGTGTCATTAGCATCTGATATCTACAAGCAAGAAATACACCTAACTGTGAACAAAGAATCAGATAAATTATGAGACATCCACACCATGGAGCCATGGGAAAGCCAGATTACGAAAATGTAATGCAGTTCCACTGAGGGGAAGGGGGTGACTCTTATTGTACAGGCACAGAGAAGGCTTAGTAACACTGACCAAACAGGACGTCAACAGTGGCTGTCTCTGGGAGATTGGGGGGGGACGGGGGGAGACTGGGGCAATGCCGCGTATTTTTATTTATTTATTTGTTTGGCCTGTTTCTCCATTTTTTCTGCTGATCTTCCCTTTAGGAACATGAAATACATCTAGGACTTAAAAAAAAGTCTGACACCTTATTTTTCTCCATTTGAAATTGAAAGAAAATTAGTAAAGAACCACTTCAACAGAGATCATCTCACCCTAGTACAATTCAAATTGAGTTTTAATTAGCTCAAGGAATTGCGTATTGAAAAATGCCATCTAATGCCACCAAACCCACCACATTTCCAGGATCACAAAGTACTTAATGAATCACCTATCATTTGGGGCTTTTAGAAAAGCCAGATCAGGTAAACACGCCTGACCTCACAAAGCCGTGGTTTTTTATTTTTTAAAAAAGGTGCCTCCACACTTTAAATACCTCAGTACAGGAGAAAGACTAAGAGAGTACAATACTCTGTCAAACCCTTATTGCATGTCAGCTAAAAACAAGTAACAAAAAAACCTATTATATTGCCTGGCTCACAGACGTAGCAATAAATTTCCAAGCCTCAGAGCATTTTTTCAAAACTGTTTTAAACATCTTTTAGGTTTCACTTATTGAAACCTTTGTTCCTTCTGACAACTGAAAGAAGAAAACTGTGTCTATGAAAAGACAAGACTCTCATGTCTTTTAAGGAGTCTGGAAGTGTTGAAGCTGGGTACCTGGAAATGTTTCCCCAGATGCCATTTACTTGAGCAATAAGCATGTCTCTCCAAGTAAGGTCCTCTCCAAATCACTCAAAACTATGGAAAATATGAAATAATGCATATACAGACACACATGGCACAAACACAAATTCATCTCTAAAAACAAATCATACCTACTTCATATGAAAAACTTTCATAACTAAATTCTATAATCAGCAGAGCAGTGTTCTGACACCGTAACAAATCAGGATGCGTGAATCTTCCTCAAGAGAAGTAAAGGGTTAAGGCACGGTTCCCAGGTCTATCCTGGCTCCAGTGGAACTAAAAAGAACCAAAGGCGGAGTCCCACCAACGCAGAGCTTCACCTACTTACCTGAAGCATCCTGCTGCTGGTGACACTGAAGACCCTTCAAAGATCCCTTTGACTCAAATTCCTCCTTCTGAGCACCTGGTCCCCTTCACTCTCCATTTCTGGTGATACCACCCCACACCCTACCAGCCTCAGGCCTGCTGGTCATTCTCACCTTTCCTCTTCCTTTCACCCCTCACAGCCAATCCAGCACCTGATTCCTTCCTGTTGGCTTTTCATACCGTCCTCTCCATCTTCACCCTCAACACCCAGGATCACCAGGACCTCTCGGCAGGCAAGGTGCTGTGTCAAACTCAAGGGCACTGCTGGTAGGAGGCCCAGCTACCCCCATCTCCCTTTAGTGAGGGTCGAGGGAGCCACCCTGAAACACAAACATTCTCCTCCTTCACATCTTAAGCATCCTGGAGCACTACCAACAGCCTGCAATGTCGAACATAAACCTCCGCCCTTCATTCTCCCTCCCCTAACAATTCAATCCTGACACAAACTGGTGAGAGTGCAAGCAGGGGAGGGAGGCAGGAGCGTGTCAGGTGTGAGAGCCAAGTCCAGGTGAAGAGGTGGTCACACGTGGGGCAGCCTGCTCAGGGGGTCGGAGCCAAGTGAGATCAGAAGGGCTGGGGGCAGGGGGCCAGCAGAGATGGGAGGTGGGGCACACTGGGAAAGATGGATCATACACACAAATACATTATGGATAATGGGAGCCAGACTTCTCGGGGTTTAATACGGGAAAAAAAAAAAGAAAGAAAGATAACCAGAAAGAACTTTTTGGTGCTAAACTAAAACTGGGGGCCTTGGTGCTCATTCATGGATCTTAACAGACCTAGAGACACAGATACACACACTAAACGAGCACGTGTGTACACATTTCTTGCACTTATACACCCACACACACACTACATTTCCACTGCACTCGTTATGAGCACAGCTCATGCCCAGACTTCAGCTTCTAAGAGCAGTTGTTCCTTAAAATAAACAGGGCTCCTTGGACAAATGGCTGGTTCCAGGGCTGAGGGAAGGAGTGCCCAACATGAGCCTGGGGCATTCTGCTGTGCCAGGGAGCCAGGCTGGAAGGGTGACAGGGACGTGTCAGAAGGCAAAGGAAGCCAGCTTGAAGGGGCTCACTGCCGAGATCTGGGACAATCTAACATCAAAATGAATAACAGTAGCAGTTTACCACCCTTCGAACAAAACAGGAAATGAGTCCACACAGATACCAAAAAATCAGTACACTTAGGTTGACGAGAAGTGAAATACGCGTTTCAAAGCGCCTCCCCATGAAATACTTAATAAATTATAAAGGCCGAAGAGGCTAAGTGGAGACGCCTGACAGACCTACCTTATTCGAGTGACCAATGTGAGCGACAAGATTGAAATCGTGCACCCAACAGGGCACAGTGAGGAGAATCAAGACTCACTTGCGTGATACTCTTGACCAAAACTGAAGAGTCTCTCAATCTCTCTCATCATCTTTTGAGTTTTTCCCTCACTAACTTCCCAGAGTAGGTACTTTCCCCAAATGAGGCCGTGTAAACCCAAACCCATCCCTCACACTCCCTGTTCACGGGTCCTGCCCGTGTGCACAGAGCAGCGTCTGCACTGCTAACTGCACTCAGAAAGCGCGGCTACTGCCTTCCCTAAAGCGGCTCGGCCCCGGGAGGGGTGAGGACACTCAGTCAGCGCGGCTTACTTCCAGACCTCAGGAAACACCAGGAAAGCAAGGGAAGGGTGCATCACACCCATCCACAATCCCCCACCAAAGCCTGTGTGTGATGGTGGAGGTGGAGGTGGAGGTCCTAAAAAGACGCCAGGGAGAAGTCGATTATTCAGAAACTACAAATTGTGACATTGTGGGTTGAGAAGCCAAGAAAGGTGATTTAAGAGTCAAAGAAAAATAGAAGGAGAAATACATATGAAGGCTGAAGCACCCTCTTGGTGAGATTTCTCACCTTAAACTCGCCCTCCCTCAAACCAGGAGGGGGAATTCAAACATGAGCAGAGCAGAGACCAAAGCCAGCACTGACTCCTGGGTAGGACCTGTACCCTTTTCTTTCAGCTGCTCCGTCCAAACTGGCAACACAGTCTTACCTCGAAGGCAGAGAAAGGTAAGAAAATCTTCTGTCTTAGGCTTCCTTTTAGAGAGGTCAGAAATTTGAGTAGCTGGAGGGGGTAGCAATGGCTCCACTATCTTTACTGGAGTTGTGCTGGGACTGTTCGGCTGGGATTGAGCAAACTTCCTTTGTGCTTGCAGCCTGGGCCTGTAAGGGCAAAAGAAAATTAAAAATAAATTAACCAGAGATCGGAGGATATAGATCTACGTGCAGCAATAAAATCATGACACAAAAGGGAAAAGAGACCCTATTTCAAGCAAACTCTTTCTAATTAAGGTTCTGTATCTCTCACACTCTCATAAACCATGAGCCTGCTTTAAAGGGCAATAAATTTGCCTAAAGGGCTATGTTTTACACACCGGTAATATGCACCCTGAGATTGTGTGTATGTGTGCGTACAAGGGCATGCTTGTGCACAAACCACGTGCATGCCTGGGTATTTCAATGACAGCACGTGGCGCTGGGTGACACGGGGCTAATGGCTTTTGGACGTTTAGCCACATTTACATGGCATTCTGCTCTAACAAGATACTGTCGCAAACACAAGCCCAGCTGCCTTCACACTGTGTCCTTGCACCTGGCCCACCTGGGCCTGTCACTGACCTTGTCTTACACCCCAGGGGAAGTAGTCTCCCCATCTCTAAACTCATCTGACTCCAATTCAGCCACATAAAAGACTACATTAATTTTTAAAGCATGTACTGCAGAAAAAAAATCTATTTCTCTAGTCTATTCAAAACCCCTCCTTCACCACCAAATTACGTGTTACCCTCGCCTATACAAAAGCTCCTTAGAGTCAGGGATTCAATAAACTGGCCTTAACCTACCTTTCAGGCCTATTCCCCTCATCACCATCCTACAGAGACCGAACCCCTGATTTATCCACTTGGCATCTGCAAATCACAACTTAGATCTCCTTAACCAGACCTCGTTCATTTACAGAATTTTACGTGTCAGACATTCTATTAATTTGAATCCTAATGAACCTTGCAAAGGTTTATTTACTTCTTTCCTAACGCCGTGGCCAATAGTTAGTTTTCCTTTCTCTACTGAGTATTTTTACCCTCTGTGTAACTGATGTGACCTTTATCATAAATTGCCTCCTATTAGCTCTTCCTTCAGTTTTCAAGATCTCAGAGCCTCGTGGCAAGTAAGCACCTGAGGGTGCAGACCAATGTGTGTCCTACTTTAAACCATCTCTCTTGGCCCTATTCATAAAGATGCTCAAGAAATTGTGTATGAGAGCAAGGGGGGATAAAGACCCCAAAAGCAGCCCTATAGCACAGGGCTTTGAATAGCTCTGGTTCAGACTCCAAATCGGAATCAATCACTGCGTGGGACTGACAATGCCCCCACACCCCGCCAACCCAAGTCAGGGCTGTTCGGAGTATCACACGCGTCTATGCTCGTAAAGCACAAGCACGTCTTCCCGTAGCTACTGCTGGGATTGTATGAAACAGCACACGCATAGTATCTTCAAAATGCTCTAACAGCGTAAGTTAACAATCCAATATTCAACAAAACACTCCCCCACACACACACTGGTTTTGTCCTTTGTAAAAATTAGTACCTTTAAGTTTAACCTCCCCTGTGTCCCACCCAGACTCTACTCCTCCTCCCCTAGGACCCACCAAAAACACCTCTGCACAGGTCACGTTCCCGATATGAACTGACACGTGGTCAAAGGAGAGACAGCATGACTGCCGCTTACTGACTGGGCAACAACTCTCCATCCTTAACATCACAGCGAATCAAAAGCACCCAGGAATAACCAAAGGGAAACAGCCGCAGAACAAGGTACTGGTGGAAAGCTAAACGACTTTAAGAGAAATTCCAAACATTGTAATGGTAAGGGAACAAAACGATACCCCGTTCCTGTGTTATGCAGAACGGAGAGCTTTTTTTTGTCCTCCCCCTCAACCACTGTCTAGAAGACAGTGAGTGAGCAGAAGTATGTGCTGGACAAGCCACCAAGCGCAGGAGTGGCCTTCCAGGAGGATCAGACGGGACAGGGGTGGCTGACTGAGAGACCTGAGGGCAGTGCTTCTCAAACTGAGAGGAAAATCTCTTTTGTATTTGGTTCTTTCTCACCACCTTAGATTTTCTGCATATTGCAAATGGGTATTTTTGTAAGAAAAGAGTAGCTACTGTAAAGGGAAAATGAAAGATATAAACTACAAGCTCGAATTTATTAGATTTAACAGATATAAAACTCAACCTCGGTCCCACAAGCCACACCCTCGCCAGGCACTGCCACCCTCAGGGTGGGCTGGCCGCAGGAGGCCTACCCTCCTCGTCCAACAGAGATGCTCTTCTCCACCAACCTTCTCGCCCTGTTAGAAAACCTGTCAGAAAACCCCTTTTCAGTTGGAAAACCTAACTGCAATTTTATGATGTGTACATCTTCATGTAAATGGACACAACTCATGAGCTACTACTACAGGGACCTAATGCTTCCTGCGTGTGAACAGGATGCTCAGTGCTTACTGCTTTCCCAAAAGCTGGCAAATGACGAATGCCACACATTACGAGAAGCCGCACACAGCCTGAATGAAAAACAAACCCGCCAACAGAGGTGGCGTGCAGACCCCGGAGCAGACCCGGCACAACGTGCTACAATTTTAGAACCGCAGAGATAAATGCTCTGACCGCTGCTCAAATAAAAGACGCTTTTCTGCCTGATGACTTTCTCAGGGAGGCTATGAAAAATAAGGCCACAACAGATTAAAAAGCGGCAGTAAAATAAATTACCCCTCAAAGGAACATGCCGAGCTCCCAAGTGATTAAGCATTTGTGAGACTCAGATGAAAGCAGGAACTAAAGAACAAGACAAACCAATATCTTTTTAAAGAGGCCCGAAGAATCCATACTTCGCAGAAAGGGCAGGTCTGCGGTTTGCCTTTTCATCGGGCAGAGTCCTGGGGGATTACAAAGGTGTGACTTTGCTTGGCTGGCCCCACACGACAAAGGAATCTGAAGGAATCTGAATGACACAACTCGGAGGCCAAGTCCTGGAGGAAGCTCTTAGCTGTGCCGGTATGCTGGCAGGATAGGTGAGTCATCCTAGAATGTCTCATTCCAGGAATTTAAAATCATCAGTCCAGAAAAGGGGGCAGGGAGGTCCAGATGTTGAAGAACCAGATTACCTGCACCTGGAGATGCTGGGGGAGGAAGCAGGCTAAGGTGCAGAGGAGAGGGCCGGCACTCAGAGGCCGGGCTCCAGCAGGGAGTGGGGCAGCAGGTAAGCACCCCTCCACCAGGTGACTGACGTTTTGGCCAGGAACACCCTCCATTCCATTACTAGAGCAAAAACGCTTTAAAATGGAAATTTAGTTTGAACTAAGGAGGTTGAGCCATCCTGAGGGTGCGGGTGGAGAGAGTTTGGGGTTCCTGGGGGTCCGGGGAGAAAAAAGCAAGAATCTGGGGCCTCCATAGGCTTTCAGCCTCAATCTAAGTCAGGCGGGCCCTTCCTGCCCGTCGGAAATATACAGACAAGCCGGCATGCAGGAAATACAGAGGTTATCTGTCCCTCACACAAACCACAGGGTATCTAGCGGAGCGTGACTCACTTCTGTGTCAGTATTTCATTAATTGATCAAGGAAGGAATTTCCCTTACAGAAGACTCCTTCGTGCTCGGGAGGTCAATTAAACCAATTAAACCAAACTCTCTAGCAAGCCCAAGAAACTTAAACCAACTGAGGAAGAAACGTGTAAAGACACTTATACATGAATAAATACACTGAGGGTAACATTTTATTGGCAGTGTATTGAAATCTAAGGCTGGGTTGGGCAGTAAGATAGAGGGACCAGAAGTGGTTTCAGATCAAATCATTCTGTTCATCACCTTCCGGGCCGTAAACGTGCATATGTGAATTACAGGACTAAAAGCCTCAGACGGCACTGAGAGAACACACAGCTTGCTCTCTGAACCCCTAGTTGTGGGTAAGGCCATCTGGGGCGCGCCTTCTCTGAAGCTCCCACGTCAAGTCAGTTATGACAAAGCTCAGCCCTGCTGGTGTGAATCCTGTTAAAGCAAAATACCCTAAAGAGGGGTAGCGGGGGTTGCAATTTAAACTGCTGATTCCCCCAGTGTCACTCTACGTAGAAATAAATGCTCTTAGGATAGAGGCAAAGGTTCCCAGGGGAACCCTGCTGACTTCAGACTGCCTCCTCCAGCCGGAACACCCCTCCCCTTCATCTTGCCATGGCTGGCTTCTCCCCAGAATCCAGCAAGGGGAGCATTTCAGTCTGCTGCTTTATATGGAGTCAAAATTTTCCACGTCTGTTTGAAAATCCCCTCCTCAGAAAGACTGAACCATCCTCCCACAGCACGTCCCCCACGATAACCGCTCAACCCCAGTTCTGTTCCTCTGCCCTTCGGTGAGCTGCAGAGTGGGCTCCCCTACAGTCTCCTCCTTCCAGCCTATTTCTGCAACCACGTGCTGCCATGCGACCAGGCAAGCCCCCCACAGATGCTGGCACGGAACGGCAGGGACACTCTGCTGCTGTCCCATTTATGATATAATTCACCAGTCATCCTTTAGGAATTACACATTTTTTTTGAGCAGAGGGGCAGACGGAATGGCAATCTGGAGGTGGCAGGGAGACACCTGGATGGATCTGGAACCACTCAAGGGCAACAGGAGAGGCCTGCGGCTCTGCCCCGGTAAGGTGACTGGCCATCCCAGTAGATGGCTGCCCAAATGTCAACTGGAACTTAGTTTCAGTAAGAATCAGTTTCGTAAGAATCCACTAAGAATCTGCCCACATGGTCACAATTTCCACCATTGCCACCGTCATCACTTATTAAGGATTTAGGGAGCCACCTGGCATCAAGAGCATCGTCTTACAAAAGCCAAAGTGTGTTACAAGGTGCCACCCCCACCCCAAGGCACACCTTTGCCCCCACACAGCACAACTGCCCATGGGCCACGATCTGCTGCAGCCAGATGGAGGGTCCTGCCACACCCGACCCCCATACATCAGAGACCGTTGGCACCTCTTGCTCAGCTGCATGAGCTGGAGGGAGAGGGTCCATCTTCTTCCTCTTTTGTCGTCCATGCCCCAAGAAACACAGAAGAAGCCTTCTCTGATGTGGGGTTAGTTGGCATCAGGGCCAATAGCCAAAAGAAGAATTTCCTTGATC